GCATTATCTTTTTGATGTCCTCTTGAATTGGTTTGCTAGTACTTTGTTGAGGATTTTTGCATCTGTGTTTATAAGGAATATTGCTCTATAGTTTTCTTTTTCTGTTGTATCTTTTCCTGGCTTTGGTGTTAAGGTAATATGGCTTCATAGAATGAGTTAGAAAGGGTTCCCTTCTTCTCAATGGAATAGTTTCTGTAGGATAGATACCAGTTCTTATTTGTAGGTCTTGTAGAATTCATCTGTGAATCTAGCTGGTTTGGGGTTTTGTTGTTAGATTTTTATTATTTTATTACTGCTTCCACCTCACTGCTTGTTATTGGTCTGTTCAGGATTTCTATTTCTTTCTGATTCAAACTTGGGAGGTTATGTGTTTCTACGAATTTTTCCATTTCCTCTAGGTTTTCTAGTTTTTTTTTTTTTAACATAGAGGTTTTCATAGTATTCACACATGATATTTTGTATTTCTGTGATATCAGTTGTAATCTTTCCTTTTTCATTTCTGGTTGAGGTTATTTCAGTCCCTTGTCTTCTATTCTTGGTTAATATGGTTAGTGGTTTATCAATTTTATTTATCTTTTCAAGGAACCAACTTCTTGTTTCATTGATCCTTTGTGTTGTTTTTTGTTTTCTATTTCATTTAGTTCTGCTCTGAGCTTTGTTGTTTATTTTCTTCTGCTGGCTTTAGAATTGGTTTGTTCTTCTTTTCCTAGTTCCTTGATATGTGGCATTAGATTGTTAATTTGTGATCTTTCTGTGTTTTTGATGTAGGCATTTAAACTATGAACTTTCCTGTTAGAGCTGCTTTTTCTGTATCCCATAGATTTTGAAAGCTTGTGTCCCCTTTGTCATTAAGTTCGAGGAATCATTTGATCCCCATCTTAATTTCATCAGTGTCGCAAGGGTCATTCAGCAGCAGGTTGTTTAATTTCCATGACTTTGTGTAGATTTGAGTGTTTCTCTTGGAATTGATTTCTAGTTTTATTTCACTGTGGTCTGATAAGATATATGGGATGATTTCGATTTTTTAAAAAATTTTTCTGAGACTTGTTTTGTGGCCTAAGATATGATCAGTCTTGAATAATGCCCCATATGCTGATGAGAAAAATGCATACATATTCAGTAGTTTTTGAGTATAACGTTCTGTAAATGTCCATTAGGTCCATTTATTCTAGAGTCCCATTGAAGTCCAGTGTTTCTTTAATTTATTTTCCACTTAAATTTTTTTCTCAGAGTGTTGAAATCCCCAACCATTAAGATGCTACTATTTCTTTGCTTAGATCTAGAAGAATTTGCTTTATGAAACTGGGAGCTCCTATGTTAGTTGCATATATATTTAGGATTGTGATCTTTTCTTTTCTTTTTCTTTTTTTTTAAACATTGTTGGTTTAAAGTCTATTTTATCTGATATGAGAATGGCTACACCTATTTGCTTTTGATTTCCGTTTGTGTGGAATATTTTTTTTCCATCCCATTACCTTGGGTCTGTGTGAATGCTCGTGGTTTAGATGTGTTTCTTGGAGACATCATATATTTGAATTGTTTTTTTGCATTCATTCAGCCAGTTTATGTCTTTTAAGTGGAGTATTCACACTATTCACATTGAGTGTTAGTATTGATGTATAGGATGCTGTTCTGTTCAACATGTTGGATGATACTTTATTGTTTTATTTTCCTTCTTATACTATTTTATTAGAGCTGTTAGCTGTAACTTTGGGGTGCTTTACACTGGTTGGAATCTGTTGTGCTGTTGCATGTAAAATGAACTTTTTAGCATTTCCTATAAGAAGTCTAGTAATGACAAATTCCTCTAGTGTTTGCTTGTCTGGGAAAGACTATTTCTCCTTCATTTATGAAACTTAGTTTAGCAGGATACAAAATTCTTTACTGGCAGTTATTCACTTTATAGAGACTAAAGATAGGACCCCATTCATTTCTAGCTTGTAAATTTTCTCTTGAAAAGTCTGCTGTTAGTCTGATGGATTTTTCTTTGTAAGTTACTTGATGCTTCGCCTCACAGCTCATAGGAATTCCTCCTTTGTGTTGACTTTGGCCTGTCTGATAACTATATGCCTCTTTTCAATAAATCTCCCAGGTGTTCATTCAACTGGAATCTGCATGTCTAAATTTCTAGCAAGACCAGGGAAGTTTTTCGCAATTATTTCCACAAACAAATTTTCTAGGCCTTTTGCTTGTCCTTCGCCCTGAGGGATAGCTATGATTCTTATATTTGTCCATTTTACTTAATCCCATATTTCTCATCAACTTTGTTCATTCCTTTTAATTCTTTGTTCTTTATTTTTGACTGACTAGGTTAATTCAAAAGAGTTGTCTTAATGCTCTGAAATTCTTTTTTCTGCTTGGTTTATAGTCTTAAAACTTTTCAGTGTGTTTTGTATTTCCCTTAAGGCATTTTTCATTTTTCAAAATTCGATTTTTTTAAATATATCTGTCTCTTCAGTAAATTTTTCATTTATTTCCTGAATTGTTTTTCTAGTTTCTTTGAATTCGTTTTACCTTTTCTGATGGCTCTCATTGAGCTTCCTTACAGTCCATATTTGAAATTCTTTATCTGTCATTTCATTATTTTCACTTTGGTTGGTATCCATTGCTAGAGAGCTGGTGTGCTCCTTATGGGTGTCCTTTCAGTCTTATTTTTCAGACTTCTGGAGTTCTTGCACTGATTTCTTCTCATCTGGAGCAGCTGTTGCTTCTTGTTTTTGGATTTTCTTTTGTTTAGATAAGGCTTCCTTCCCTCCCTCCATTCTTAAGGGTGTGTCTATAGCATATATGGGGTAAGGACCCTTGGCTTTGCTTGTGGGTAGTTTGATGGGGGTCTAGGTTCTGGGTTGATACCTTGGTTATAGATATCTTTAGTGTGGTGGTTTTCTAAATTGGAAATTTTTTGTAGGCTGTAGTGGTAGTGAATTATGTGTGTGGGCAGATTCCCTAAGGGAAGATGGAGGTCTTTGAAATCCTTTCTCTTTCTCCAGCCCATTGGTCTTCTTAACAGTGTGAATTATAGCAGGACACCCAGTTTAATCTCTGAGACAGTAGGTGGTGCTCGTGGGTACTACTCAACTATGTTCTCTGTGATTGGAGGAGTGTAGATGAGTGGGGCTGGGTTGGAGGAGCCTGCCTTCAGGCTTCACAAAGGCAGGCACAAGAGCTATGTCAGCTGGGGTCAATGGTTAGCTTCCCGGTCACTGGGAAAAGCCACCAGGGAGGTCTGAAGTTGCCCCAGCAAACCAGATAGTCTGTTCATTGGGCAGGGCTGTCTGGATTCAAAGTTTGGCAGATGAGAGTGAATTTCACTCTTCTTTTTCTTCCCTTGCCTTGTGTATCTCCTTCCAGGTGCCAGCAGTGGCCCAAATTAGCTGAGTTCATTAGCAGTGGCACCGCCATAGGCTGGGAACTTCCGTTCCCAGGATCCAACTACAAATCGAAAGTGTGGCTTTCCTGTTGGGATGGGTACCCTGCAAGTGCCCTGGGGCTGGCACTCTTCTTTTAGTTTCATCCACATGGGCTACCTCCCCTCCCAAGATTAGTTCACAGATCTCCCCTCCATGCCCTGAGCAACACAATCAAGTCCTACAGAACGGGATCCAGCCTCTGCGCCTGTACTTTCATCCCCCAAGTTCAATCCCTGACCTTGTGAGGGAGAATGGTATCGGTCCCGAGTTGCCTGTGGAGTGCCGAAAGCAGGCTAAATGTCCCTCCATTTTGTGATATGCTCTGCTCTGCTGGAGCAACCAGGCGAACAGCACTGGGGAGGGCTGGTAGGTAGGAAGCTCACAGTCAGAGCACTCCTTGGTCTACTGCAGGTCTTAAGAGGAAAGGTGTGGTGAGTTCACCAACCGAGGGGAAGGAGCCACTCCTGAGAGTCCTGGCTCAATTGTGCCTTGGGGCACCTGTGCCAACTCATGTGTGAACTGCCATTCATCAGTGAGGAGGGGCTGGGAAGGAGAAGAGTCTCAATGGAGGAGAGCTGGCACTCTTGTCCTCCTTGTCCGTCCCCCTAGAGGGCAGCTCACCCAAAATGCTCTGGGATTACATAGTTCCCCTAGGACCCAAGGATCTTCTATGGCCACTGTAGTCTGGGCAAGATTTGGGGAATGTTTATGTGGGGGCCAGTGACATGAAAACTGAAGGGCTGAAGCTCCCTGGGGAGGACAGAGGCACACAATGGGTGGAGAAACAGTATGGCGCCCATCACCTCAGCTCAGGTCTATGGCAAGAGGAAGTGAACCCAAGGGAGTTGGCAGCCAGTGCTTTATTCTCAAAAAGCTCCCAGTTCACTGGTGGCAGCAGCTTTTGGGCTCATGAGGTTAGAGAAGCTCTCTAGCAGCTCGGGAGCCTGTAGGTCTGCTAGAAGTGTGAGGGAAGGAGAAACAAAACCCCCATCTACACTTTCTACAGGGATGCAGATTCCTTGGGGGTTGATCTCTGCCAAAATCTTGAAATCTTGCTTCTTCATGTTCAGTTGTGCAACTTCTTCCTGTGGAATCTCCTGTAGGTTCTGGCACTTTTCACTCAGAATTACACTTGAGTTACTTTTTTTTTTTCATCTAAAACTTTCCCTTCTTTCTAAGACCATCTGGTGACCAGTGTCTCTAGTCAGCCATCTTACCTCACCCCTCTAGTAACACTTTTGAATACCTAGTAGAGTTGTTAGTTTGTGTAATGACATGTTTGTTTTCTTAACTGCTTGAGTGAGAGAAAAGAAAAGGTATATTAAAATAACCTTTTGAGTTTTGGGTTTTTGGCTTGTTTCTTGAGGGGGGAAAATTTTATAGCTTTAGGTACATAATACTTTTATAGCAGTTTTATACTGCTAAAGGTTTAACCTATTATAGATTCATTGAGAACTATTGACTTCAGAGTATTGCAAATATACATGACTTCATTAGGTGCCGAATAATATTTTGGCCTTTTCTTTCTTTTGAATTAGCTTCATAGTTTGAATTGGCCTGGAAATTATGTTATATACACTGTTTCCCACTTTAATTCATTTTATTGAGAGGGTTACAAAGTTCAATTGCTTAAAATAGATGAAGGTATTAATTTTATAACTTCATGTAAAGCAATCACAGTAACTGTAGCTGACTGTAATGGTGACCTAACAAATAAGAAGAAACAGGTTTTTAAAATTGTATTACATTTATCACCACCCTTACCCCCAAAACAATTACTTTACTTTGAATAGGGGAAGAGAAAGGAAATTGACATGTTTGATTACCTACCATTTATCAAGTGTTATTTAATCTGTATAATCTCATTTTATAACCAAGGAAACTGACTCAGAAGGGTTTCAGTATGTTACCCAAAGTCACACAGCCAGTTAGTGCTCTTATGTAGACCTTTCTTTTCTCTAATGATAACAAAATGTCCAGTTAAGTAAAAATGTAAAGTTCATTTAGAATTTTAATTATAAAAATAACTTTGCTATAATATACAAAGTACAAGTTTTCTAAAAATGTGTGACTTGCTTTTTCTCATTTTATTCTTGTGAAATACAATATCCTTCTTATGTTCATCAGAGAATTGAACATTGAACAATTTGAACTTCCTTCATATATTAGCCAGCTGGCATGTTTTCCTAGCAAAACATTTTCTGATTTGACCACAGACTCTCTCAATCAGTTGTTACTGGTTTGAATAATAGAATATGCTGTCATGGTGGGCACCTGATCATGAAAATTGATTTCTGGACTGCATTTTTATTTGGATTTAAAATGTTTTTACAATCCCAGTATAAACACTGTTAATCTAGTCAAAACCTTTTCTTACAAGAGCAAGAGCTTGCATAGTTTTATTTAACTAGTTATAGTCAATAGGGTGAGAATAAATTGTACATTTACATTAGACAAAATCTTGATTTATTTTAAACATGAACGATGTTATACTAAAATAGTTGTAGGAATTTTAAAGATAAAACAGTTTAGTTTTGAAACTTTAAATAACTGGATTTATTTAATTTAAATACCATTTGGAAATTTTCTGGTGTGTAACCTTTGTGGGATTGGGAAGTAAATTATACAGTTTGGTGCAATGCTGGGAAATTGCAAACCTGTCTTACATTGGAGTAATGGATCCAAGGTTTGAGAGTACTGATTTATTTTCTGGTTGTTGATTGAAGCAGTTTCATGAAATAGAATTAATATTTATATTCATGATATAATAGACCACTACTCTAAGGACAATGAGGGTAATTTTCTTAGTTGTATCCATATAGATGAATAAGGAGCTATTTTTTTTAGGGCAATTTGAATAACTTGTCTTAAATTTGAATAGTAAGTAGTCAAAGTGGCTATTTTTTATAAAAAATATAATATATACAGATTTAAAGGAGTCATTTATATAGAAAATAGCATATTATTTGAGTATGTTTGATTTTCTATTCTTTGTTATATAAGGATGATTCCAATTTAGTTCTAGTGAACTATAATCCTATTTAATCATCCACTCATCTTAATTTTTATTTTTTTAATTAAAAAAATTAGAGACAAGGTATCACTCTGTCACTCAGGCTGTCACGTCACTCTAATTGTGAAGTCAATTATGTCTAATTAAAATTTAATTTGTATTTTTTATCTCAATTGTAAGGCTAGAGTACAATGCCCAGTCATAGCTCACTGCAGCCTCAAATTCCTAGGCTCAAACGATCCTCCTGCCTCAGCCACCCTAGTAGCTAGGACTACAGGTGTGCACCACCACATTTGGCTATTTTTAAAAATTTTTTGTAGAGCTAGGGTCTTACTATGTTGCCCATAGTAAGGCTGGCCTTGAGTCCCTGCCTTGGCCTCCCAAAGTGCTGGAATTATAAGTGTGAGCCACCATACCCAGCCATCCAACCCATCTTTAAATGTAATTAATGGAAAGTCTTGCTGTTAGCAGAAACTACTAACATATTAAAGGAACTTAACTGTAAAAGATAGTAACATATTACATTTTACAAAACCATATATGGATACTTAAAAACATTTGTTACTCATGCTATATTTGAATGGAACAGTTAGAATTTTTTACTGAATTAGGGCTGACATTTCTTAGAAAGCAGAGTTATTAATATCTGGAATATTAATAAAGGAGCAGAATATAATCAATAAAAAATAAACAAACCTTCAACATTTCTACTGAGAGAATTTATCATATGGATATTGAAGAGGAGACTTTAAAGAAACCTTTATAGTTAGATAAAATATTGACATGCAGACATGTTGGCAACATTAGTGGATCTCTAAGCAACTATATGTCACTGTAGCCAGATTACAATCTGTTTTATTCTTTCTGGTAAAAATAGAAAGCCATTCAAAAAAGAGAAAGAAAAGGAATAATTTTACCTGTTAGTAACATTGGACAACTTATAGAAAGCAACTTGACTTTGGCTTTTTAGCACTTGTTTGTTACAGTTTCATGTGTCCAAGAGCAGCGAAGAATCAAAATTATCCTCTGGTTTTAGCACCAATATTTTGCTTTCCCTGTAACTGAGACACAATTTAAAAAAATAATCTCTATGACCATATTTTAAGACAAACACTTGGAATATTGTGTTATGTGGGAATTCACTACGGCATTGACAATTTTAAATAAGAGATTAAAAATACATTAGCTAAAAGGAACTAAATATTAACAGAATCAAATGTTTCCCCAATCAATAATACTTAAGTACAGCTTACTGCCCACCCATTCCACCAATTTGGGTAGAAGAAATTTAATGAAATTTGGGAAAATTCATTTTTTCCAAACTTTGGGAAGTTCGGGGAACAAAACCAGTGACTATATATTTGCCAATTTTGTCATGTGCAAACCTGCCCTATTTCATATTTTATAAAGTCATAAAAACCTTTTTCCTTTATATTTGGTTTCTAAAATTATTTCATTGCTCAACTTGGATGTTCTCTTTAAAGCCACAAGATTTTGGTATAGACTTTACTATGACAAAGTTTAATTTGTATTTTTTATCTCAATTGTAAGTTAATGAATATTCTGGCAACCAACTTTATATCTTTTTTTTATTTTTATTTTTTATCTTTTTCAGCACAGTGGAGAATTTACAGTCTCTCTTAGTGATGTCTTGTTGACCTGGAAATACTTAGTACATGAGAAATTGAACTTACCGATTGAAAATGTTAAAGTGATTGACCATTATGAGGACATTAGAAGGACCTATGATGATTTCTTAAAGAATAGTAATATGTTAGATCTGATTGATGTTTATCAAAGATATAGGATTTTGGCTTCTAAATGTGAAAATAATAACATGATGTCTCCTGTAAGTATTTTTTAAATCTATTTTAATCAAAATTCAACTAGATTTATTTTGATTTTAAACTTTAGTGTCATCAGTTATAGTAACTTGATAATGTGTTTGCTTGTGAGATCATGTTAAGAATGGAAAATTTAGCTACTTGAAAAGCTAGTTATTACTTGAAAGAAATATTTTGGTGGTAAATTTTCTTGGACTGTGTTATTGTTATTTCGTTGCTATAAGAACAGCTTCTTTTTAGAGCAAAAATTTTATAACAAAGAATCAGTACCAAGTGCCTAATTTCTTTTTGAATTATGTCAAAGATTGCTTTCCTACTTTAAACTTTCTTGATTTAATGTGCATTTGTTCATTTGGGATATGTTGTATAAATGATTGGTATGACTTTATCGATTAATAATATTTTACTAGATGGAGGTATCATTCATTTTATGAGAATAGTATGATGCAGTATACATGAGAAAATAGATTATTTCTTTTTGCACAAACATTTCATTATTTTTTAATGAGATATAAATTTAAAAATTCAATGGAGTAGCTTCCCTTGCAGTTCAGTTTTCTCTGTTAGAATTTATAAATTGTTTTAGAATATATTTAGACATTTCTAGTTTTTTTTAAAGTGTTGGAAATATTTTTCATTATCTTAACATTTACTGAGTGCCAATAAAGTAGTAAGTAGTGGTAATTAAATAATTATAGCTATAATTAGAAGAAAATGTTTACTGTATTTTGTAAGATATTCAAGTATTTTGTAATTATTTCTATATAATACTTGGGAATAGTATTTTAGCTAATTATAATAGAAACCTCTACTATAACAATTGTTTACAGAAAATACAAGTTTATTTCATTCTTCTATAAAAGATGTCTAAAAGACTGATATGATAGCTCCGTGGTTATCAGAGACCCAAGCTTTTTCTGCCATTCTGCTCTCCTGTCTTAATTCTTGGCCTCTACCTTCAAGACCATCGCATGGTCCAAGAAGACTGTTGGAGCTCCAGACATGCAACAGGAAGTAGTAAGGGAGAACAGTAATCTCCCTTCTTGTAAGAAGACATAGCACTTTTTCTTTCATCTCATTGCCCAAAGGTTAGGCACATGGCCACACCAAACTGCCAGGGAGGGTGGAGAGAATGTAGTTCTCATTCAGGGTAGTAACTTGCCAGGATAAAAACAAAAGCTCTATTACTGGGGAAGAAAGTGAGAATGAATGTTGACAGGCAGCTTGATGTCTTTGTCTCATTGGGCTATCATGAAAACCTTTATCCTGTTGTAACTTTCTCAATACATGTGCACAAACTTGCATGTATGTACCCACATGTGCATACCCACACTATGGTAAGAATACTTATAAGTGAAGATCTTGGTTTTTTTTTAAATTCCTCCCTAGCTATATTTCATTTACTTGCTTACAGAGATGATTTTTGACTACTTTTCACATAGTTGATTTAGAGAGACTAATCATATATAAGTATTGGATTGTAGGAACAACAAAGAAGATCTTCTGATAAACCAGTGATAGTATAATCTACTTGAGATCTTTGAGCACATTGCTTTCATCCTATCCTTTGTCCCATTTATTATTAAGTCCTCTAATAATTCTCCACATCTGAGTGGATCAACTTATAGTATGAGATATATAAGGGTACACATTTGAGGTTGTCAATGTGGGAGACTGTCTACAAATGTCAACAGGTCTCCTTTGCAGAACACCAGGAATGAAATTGAAGCTGCTAAGATGGTAGTACACGAGTAGAAAATGTTCTGCATTTAGACCCTGAAAGACTAACAACTTGATCTCTGATACTTATGTTTGCTCTAGGGAAATTTCTAGTGAGAAAAAAGTAGAAAAATATATCCCTAGATTGATTTCTCAAAAATACACTATCTATAATAACTCCAATTGATACTAAAAGTATCTTTAAAGATATGTATCGGAATATTTCAAAGAGTTCTGAATTTCATGATCCTAAATTTTCATGAACCTGATATCGAGTTTATTTCTTACTTGTTGTAGCTTAAATAAGGTGGTAAGTTGAACATTGCCCTTTTCCTCTTTACTCCCTACTTATAATTCTCCTAAGGAATGGGCATCTGGTAGCATATAAGGCCTTGAATCCAAACTGGCATCTAAGTAGAGAGAATTGGTACAGGGCTTGCTTGCTTATGAACTGAACAGGTATCTAGAAGACAGCATCGGAGACCTAAGGTGGGGAGCAGAATGGTAGATCCTGAGAAGATCTTAGTCTCAGAGATCTGTGAACTTTCTGGGCAAGGTCAACAAATGTCTTCTGTGAGTATGTCCAGATTCCCTGACCCTCAAATCAAGAAGTAGCTGAATGGATGGGCTTCCTATTGATGAGGCTTGGGAGAACATATGAAGACTTTTCCTTGGCCTTGGTGGGTGACTAGCAGCTTGTTTCACCACTGCGGCTCAGTAGTTATAGAGACCATTTCGACTTCCATAAGGTACCTCAACAGTTTGATCTGAGCCCCAAAGAGCCAATGAAGAAAAACAACAAACCACCTCAGGATAGCCAGCAGCCAGAGGGATGAGTCAGCTGACAACATACATGCTCAACAAAATAGAGTTGCTGGAGCTCAATGACAGCAACTTGAAACATAAAAATATTAATTACTTAAGGAAATTCAAGGATAGCACCCCCACATTAAAAAAAAGAGAAAAGAAACAAAAGACACAGCTGCCAGGGCCTGAGTTCAGGGCGCTGAGCTCGCGTGGTGGGCGGGCGCTTCAACTGTCCAAAGCTGGGAAGCGGATGGAGATAGAGGCGCAGATTCTTGTGTTGAACCCCGCTGAACCCGAGAGCCCTTCTTTCGTAATGAGAAAATCACCCTTGAGAAAGTTTACACAACATAGCATCCCTGAAGAAGTGTCTCTTAGCTGTAGACTAAATGCCCTGGGAGATGCCTCTTACCTCAAGAAATGTGGTGCTGCAGGAGGGTCCTCAATGCCCGCAGGAGGGTCCCCAATGCCTGCAGGAGGGTCCCCAATGCCTGCACACTCTTTACAGGACCTCCCGATCCACCTGGCAGGGGTCAGCTCTGTGGTCACCTTAAGAAAGGAGAAGCGTTTTACTGCCCAGGACTGTAAGGATTCCAGTGGGCAGTTAGGGCCCAATCTGGACCTCTCGGCTCCTAGAGAAGATCCGCTGGTGTCGGCCTTATTGGCCCAGCAGGAGCAAAAGGGAGAGTCCCACCTAGCAAGGAGCTGGCCACGAAACTCAGGATTGCCAGGGATTCCCAATACAGCCAGGAGAAAGAGACCAGACCCGAAAAAGCTGAAAGCTGCAATGGAGCGAGTGAGCCAGTGGGAAATCCACCTACTTCAGAACATTGAAGAAGCCACCCAGCACCAACTCACTATCCAAGCCAAGAGGAAACGGGCACCTGAGGAGCTTTAGTTTAACACGGAAAACCAGCATCAATTCTCCCATGCTCGGATGTCTCAGAGATACTTGTTTTTGTAGACACGTTTTGATTATTAAATACAGAGCTAGATTTTATTCTTGTAAATGTTTGCATCCCCTACTTTATCTAAAAATATTTGCTATTCTCTTTCTAAAAACAAAAACATGCTTACATTTCCAACCCCATTCCTTCCTCAGCTGCCTCTCCACCCCTCCTCCCAGGTGGGCCGGCTCTCCTCAGGGATGGGGATGAAAGCTTATCACTAGAGTGGAATCAAAAAGGGCAACCCCTAAAAGAAATCTCAGACTGGATGGAAAAAAAAAAAAGAAAAGAAATAGTAGATTATAAGGGCATGTAAGATCTAGGATGTACTGTTTTCAGAGACAGGTGAAAACTTTTAAGCTGCAAGGATGGGTAGAAAGTGTTCCTAATCAAGAATCTAGTTCTCCCTGGAAGAACCCACATTTCTTTGGAGTTTTCCAACAGAGAGGGAATGTGAAATTCTTCATAGGAGGGATAGAGGCAGGCTGGTAGCTGTAATTATTGTGATAGTTCAAATTTAATCTGTTGATGTTCTGTATATGTGGTAAGAATTTATTTACTGTGTAGTGTGTTTAAACATTTGTAAGATTTATGAACTAGTTCCTTCTGTAGAAACTGTTTAAGTTCACTTTTTTCTGACAATTATTGATTATCAAGTTATAAAATCAGATTTATAAAAATAAGAAAAGTTTAACTTTTTAGATAAAACATGAAAGTATAAAGCAGCAGAAAAACTTTCTATGTAAGTGTATAATATAAATACTTCAGAGAAATTCCTTCCAATCTTTATTATGAAAAATAAACCATCTTCATGAGAAGTAAAAAAAAAAAAAAGAATTTTCAACACAATGGATGAATTCAGACCCAAATTAGTATCTTGAAAATTGAGCACAATGAATATTTAAAGCACAGAGAAAAATATTAGATAAATCATGAGGGAAAAGTTAAGAAATTTGGAGGTTAGATCTAGAGGATTTCACATGCCAGTGAAAGGAGTCCCAGAAGGAAAAAAAAAGTAGATACATAAAGAAGCATAATTAAATACATAATATTTTTGTTACAAATATATTTGTTATAGTAAATATTTCCTTTAGCTGAAAAGAAATCTCAGTTTGTTGCTGCCGAGTGTTTACCAAGATCCAGACTGTATTGAGAAAAGACCTGCAAAATTCCTGTACTCTTAAGGATAAATATAAATCTTACAAGTTTATTTAGTTTTAATTTATTATTTAATTTAATATAATTATAATTTAAATATTACAAGTTAATTATTAACAAAAAGATTAAATAGCATGTCCTGAAAGAAGAGCTCAGTAACCTAAGAATCTCATCCCCAACCAAGATATCACTTATCAGTCAAGTTAAAGGAAAGATTTGTTGAGGGTATGCAAAAATTTAGAGAGTGTCATGCTCATATTTCATATGAATAATAATTTATTTTCCAAGGACTCTAGTAATTAAAGAGATGAACTAGAACAGATACCTATCTAGGGGAAGACGGTAGGTAGCAAAAAATCTTAGAAAATATTGTGTGTGAGTGTGGTGTGTATGTGTGTAGTTAAAATTGTAAGGATGGAGTGGGAATAGGTAGATGCTAAAATGGAAAGCTTGCACTAAGGGTGTTTCTAATACTAGTTTAGAATTAAAACTGCTGAATGTTGTAGTTTGTTGGGGGAGGTGGCAGGCATTATCACTTTAAATAATAATAGAGAAATATGAGTCTGATTTCAGCACAGTGAAAAGGAAAGTAACCATTAATTGAATGGAAAAATATAGTATATCTTCCAAGTTAATAAGAGACCAAAAATAGAATAAGTAGCACCTGATCAAATCAGTGAAAGTACAAATCAGAAAAATTAATAGTGTATCACAGCAAATATATTGGGATTTTTACGATTTTCTCAAAAAGCTTTTACACTCTATTATCAGGAGTCTTGGTTGTCAAATTTTAGATCTCAGGACCTCTTTATACTATGGGAAATTATTTAGCATTACAAGGAGATTTTGATTATGTGGGCTGTATCTATTGATGTTTACCATATTAAAATTAAAATTGGGAAATGTATAAAATATATGCCAATTTATTTAAAAACATTGATACACCTATTGCATGTTAACTTAAGTAACATTTTATGAAGAATAACTATATTTTTCAAATAAGTTATGAGGATGGTGACTTTGTATTTTTGCATATATCTTTAATGTTGTATGTGACAGAAAATAGCTGGATAAATTCTCATGTCTGCTTCTGTTTGATATGTTGTTTTGATTCAAATATATCAAGAAAATTTGGCTTCACGTTAATATGTACTTAGAAAAGGGAGAATCCCAGAGCAGGTCTTAGGGACCTCAGGAGTCCTTGGATCATGCTTTGAGACTCACTGATCTAGAACAATATATTTTACATATAGTCAAATATGAAAACAGTGTTTAATCAGAAGATAATATTCTCTTTTTTGTGAGAATGTTATGTTTATGGAAAAATAAATCTGTGTTTTCAACATCTCTTCTGAAAATATAAGAATCACAAATGTGAGGACTATTCTAAATTTTTTGAATAGTAAATTTTTTTTCTGTGATCTTGAAGTTTGAGATTGAAAAATTATAAATATTATGAACAGCAAAATCCTAGATTTTTCCCTTATGATTAATCTAGAAGTATTATCTCATCATATTAGTAGAATTGTGACAAACCCTATTACTTTTTAAGAAGTGTATGTTCATGAGTTATTTTAGTTAAAACTTTGCAATAGTTGAGAGGAAAACTGGTTTGAAATTTCATTGGGCTTTGTTAATTCAGTTTATACCTCCCCTTCAGATTTACTCATCAGTAATGGTGTGTGTGTGTGTGTGTGTGTGTGTGTGTGTGTACACCTACATAATCTTAGATTCCTTAGATTAAGTGAAATAATATGAATATGTTGAGTAGTATGGCATGGTGAAAGCAAAGATCTCTTTATAAATTATTTTTTCATGAAAACTTATTTTGTTTGAAATATTGTGCTTTTTAGGACACAAGATTTACTTATATACATTCCAAAATGAAGCATCTTTTAGAGACTGTCTGTAGAGCTAGTGTTTTCACTAGTTTATATACTTTATAATTTCATAAAATCACTTATTATGAGTCATTAACATATAAAAGGGAAGATAAAATTTTTTCTTGACTCACTGTGAGGCCTTAGGTAAGACTTTTCTTTGTCTTTAATTTTTCTTCTTTCATAGAAAATAAAAGGCTCAAATTAAATTTCCAAGGTCATTTTTTTTAACTCTAAATTTGTAAAACTCGGTGAGTACCTGTACCATTGGAAATGGATTGAAACATTTTATTATGAAGTTTAATTACATGTGTACCTAATGACTGCCAACAAACATCAGGTAATACTCTTCACTGGAATGTCAATAATGGTGAGTAGAGCTTGGTGTAAAGTATTTTTTATAGTAGGTATATCATTTTATTAGTAATGCTCTATATTTCTTACAGAGTCAGCTACGGGATTTTCTGTCCGGCAAACAGTATGCAGTAGGTGATGAAACTGATCTTTATGTACCAATATCACCAATGAGTAAACACAAACAGGATAATGAAAAGGTACTGATAAATTGTGAGTAAATTAAAGCACACTATGATCCTCTTCAAATCACTACGAATTTGGTAGTAAGTTAAAGTTACTCATGTTTTTTGAGTTCTTTTTAAAAATATTTTTCTTTTTAAAAAATTTTTAAAAATTTTTACAAGTTCTTTTTCTTTTTAAAAAATTTTTACAAGTTTTTCATTTGTTTAAGTAAAACTATATTTCCAAAGAGTAATACACTGGAGAGTGGTAAGAACATGGTAATAATCAGGATCTTTATGGTTTTGGGCCAAGGTAACAGGCACTGAACAAAAATAGGTATCATTCAGAGTACTAGAAAAACAATTGAAGATCCCAGTTGACAGAGTTCTTTGAATCTTTCTGTTTCATGAACTTGACATTTACTGTTTTAGGTGGTTGATTCTTGGGAGACTATGTTCAGTTGAAAAATCTGGTCTGTAACCTTTGCAGTAGTACAAACTGATATATCAAGAGTTCTGATAGCAAGGTTTGTTGTGTAAAGAAATCACAGCAAAACAGTGTCACATACAGCTTTGGTCTAATACAACTTACTTTCAGCTGAATGCTATGTTAGATACCTAATTGTTAATATATATGTTAACCCCCACTAACCTTGGTAGTTATGTGTATGAAAGTTTCTATGCTTAATAAAATCACGTTTGACATGATGAGAGTTTAAGAGTATTGGAAAAGCAGTAAATTACATTCAACGTATTCAAAAAATATATAAAAGGTCTAGAATGCACCTACTTCCAAAATCCACTGCTTCAGTAAGTTAACACATTTGGTGAATCACCTTTTTTTTTTCAGGAGTCATTGCCGAGGTAGATTCTCCCCTAAGTCCCATGTTATACAGATTGTACTTTAAAAAATATATTTCATCACTGACCTCAAATATCTGTATACTTCCTGGATTTAATAATCTGTGCTTTATATCTGCATCTCATATTTTTCTGTCCTATTTGAAAGTAAGTTGCTGGACTTCATGTGGATCCCTAAAGTTCTTTAGCATACACTTCCTGAAAATAATGACATCACCACAATATCATTTATCATATACAAGAAAACTTAAATATTCCCTAATATCACTTACTCATGCCCATATTTAGATGTCTCCATTTGTCCTCAAAATTATTTTTATGTCTCTTTACACTTTTTTCCTCTAAAATCCCCCCAATCTCTTTTTTCTTTCTATTTGTCTGATTAATTCCTTGTGGTATTATTTAACTTGTTTTTCTATTTGTGATATTTCCAATAAGCTAAAGGTTACATCTAAAAGCTTGCTTAGATTTAGGTTTAATGTTTTGTAAGAAATACTTCATAATTGATGCAAAATATTTTGTTTTGTGTTACATCAGGAGACATAAACTCTGGTTGTCCCTAATTGCCAGATCTTTCTAGTATGAAGATGTAGTTTTTCCTTTGCTGTCAGCATAGTTGTGTGGGGTGATACTTTTGCATTGTATAAATAACCTGCTTCCCAACAGCTTTTACCAAATGGTTTTAAGCATGCATTGATGATCCTTGCTTGAATCAGATATTTCCTTAGTGTTTGTAGAATGATGAATTTCTAATTCTATCATGTCTTTCCATTAATTACTTGCCATTTCTCAGTAAAGAAAAGCTTTATCTTATCAAATGGGATGAAATACAGTTCTCTAAAAATGTCAAGATCACTAATTAATTCTATTTACCATCTTAGGAGTTGGTGTAATGGTTATGTATAAGAAGCAAATTAGATGCTTTTTCCATTTATCTTTCGCCTTTTTCTGTGTGTATATTGTATGGACTCATAAATTTTTATTTATGCAGTGTTTTAAAATCAGTTCCATTCAATCTTTGTTGCTAAAATAGAGGAAGCTCCTTCAAACTGGCTTCTGTGTCCTTTTTACATGTCCTATTAGACTTTTTGAACATTTTCCTCGTTTCTGATACAAGAAAATATCCCAAGCCTACCTTGACTGTTTCCTGCCCAGACCTAGTTCCTTTTAGTGATTTGTAACTATTTTCTTTTGCTTGAAATTAATTTTCCACTTACATTCTCCTTATTTTCCCCTCCTGCTCTAAATCTTGACAAAATGCTTACCAAATTGCTTGGTCTTTTCTCAGTAGCATTTAAGGAATATATTCATGTATAAAAAGGGTAGATAACTTAAAGATCTCTTCTATCCTACGTGCTCTGTGAGGAGGAAACAATAATTATTCTTTATTTTCATAGGGAATGAACTAATTTGTATATGTAAAAAGACCTAAGCTTTTAAAACTTTAAAATATTATCTTAAAGGGATATCAATGACTAAAGATTATATTTAATAGTATGATATATAGAAACTAATGGGTCTTCATTGTAAGCATATAGTATCCCCCTTTAAAATGTGCTTATTATTTTGTTGTGTCAATCCTCTAGTTTTTATCTTTTCCTTTCTTAGATTGTATTTTCTGATAGAATTTTATCTCCTAGTTCAGCTGATAGATCAGATTTTCTGAGGACTATTAAATTAGCAGCCATCCTCTTAGCCACGCTTCTTTTACTTGCAGTTTCTAATTTTCATTTTACAAGGTATTTTTGGAAGTCAGTATATTTCTAATTAAAATTCCAAAGTGACTTTTTTGGGCTGCAGTCTTGAAAAGGTATATTTTGATCATGAAATATACTGACTAATGTCATGCCAGAGTCTTTAAGTAGATGAATTGAATGAATTTGAGAAACAATATTTTTGTTTTCTGATTTTATTTTCTATCATTTTATTTTTCCTAAGATACTAAAATATTGTTTTTGAAATTCTGAAATAATGAAGGCTAAAATAAAGGCTGAAAAAGAAAATCATGAGTTAAATAAAATTTTCTACCAGTATAGTAGTTCTAGTCCAACTGTTTTTTTTATTTTTATTTTTTTGGTCATTATACATAAGTATTTATGTGTTGGCAAAGAAAGTAAAAAAAAAAAAAAAAAGATAGGTTGAGGGAAATCAAGATGGCGGACAAGAAACACCGCCAGACAGAGTGTCTCTGCGGAAAAGACATGCTAGCAGAAATTAGAAGAAAGAAGCAAGAAGACAAGTATACAGCGGACGAGGGTCGGAAGGAGGGGTACCTGAGACCACGGGAGACTCCACGGGAGGAGGTTTCGGAGGAGAACTGGAAGCTGAGACTGCCGGAGCAGCCCGGAGACCAGCGGGAAGGGTAGGTGAATAGGCCGTTTGCCCTCCCCTGCATCGGACTGCTGGTGGACTCCCCAGCCGGTGGAGAGATCTGCGGACACCAGCCCAGCGACGGCCGTGGCCAGTAAGCGGTAAGCCAGTAGCAGACGCTGCACCAGGCTCCCAAATACCTCAGGGCACCTCTGTGTGCACAGACCTGAGCCGCGCGGCAGGCGCCATATTGCCCCATTCAACCCTCCACCGACCCTACCTGCGGCTGCCTAGAGAGACAATACAGCCACTAGCCGGAGGCACCTCCAGGGAACAGGACCTTCCCTTTTGGGGCCCTACAGCTGAATAAGGGGAACTCAGACTGTGAGTTCCCTAACCTCCAGCTCTCCCAGGTACTGCTGGCATGGTGATCCGAGGAGAACGGGGCAGACCCTGAGGCTGAGAGACATAGACCCAGCGTGGGCTCCCTGTGGGTGAATTGGGACTGGCACTCCTCTCCCTGGTGGGGATATAGTTTGAACTCTGGGGCCCAGAGCTCAGACCTGCAGACCAGATCCTGTGTACCAAGGTCTCGCATTGCTCGGGGCACAGAAGGGTTATACGTGAACAGCCTACTGAGGTGTGTGTGCCTTCAGGGGCAGATCAGCGTCCTAGAGGGCAACCCTCCTCCCAAAAGGAGGCCGTGAGCCCAGCCCAGGTAGCTTTCCTGTGCAGGGAACCTCCCCGCCGGCATCACAGTCCGGGGAGGCCTGGTGGCGTGTGGTCTGGCCTGCTGGCAGAGGCCAAGGAGTAGCTGTGGAGTTGGGAAGGGTGGAAAGAAGCAAGGCCTGCTCCAGACTGTGGGTCTCAGACAGCCCCACCCCACACATAGACTTTCTTCTGAGCTGGGCCAATCCAGCCTCTCCCTGACAGCTTTTCCTGGAAACAGAGAAGAGAACTTTGACCCCTGCTAATGACATTGGTGGTGCCTGAGGGCAGGCTTACCCAACCCAGCTCCACCCAGACTCTCTCCTAGACCAGCCCTACTGAGGGGGAGGAAAGGACACACCTGGAAGTCTCAGGGCCCCAACGACCACCTGAGGCACTAGAGTGCCTCTCTGCAGGAACAAGAGGTGATAACAGGACACAAAAACAATAACGTAGCCTGTTTCTCTGAGCAAGCGCCACCTACTGACAGGGAGGACATCCTGCACACCCTTTTCACAGCACCTACTGACTCATGATACAGAGAGTGGTCAAATCTCACCCACAGACACCACCTACCGGCTCAGAAACTAAACAAGGCAAGTGAATACCCAAACGAAAACCTAAAGGAAAGAAACAACAACTGATCGACATGGGAAGAAATCAGCGAAGAAACTCCGGAAATATGAAGAACCAAATGGAAACCACACCCAAAGAGGAGCACCAGCCCCTAGAAACAGACACCAACCAAATCAGGCAACCAAAATGACAGAAGAGGAATTTCGAATGTGGATCATAAAAAAATTCAACAACCTGCAAGAACAACTCAATAACCAACACAAAGAAACCACAAAAAGCCTCCAGGACCTGGAACAAAAGTTCACTAAAGAAATCAACACAATGAAGAAAAGTTTAACCGAACTCCTGGAAATGAAGAATCAATTCAGGGAACTACAAAATACAGTGGAAAGTCTCAAGAACAGGGTAGATCAAACAGAAGAATCTCAGAGATTGAAGATAACACCCTCCAATTAAATAAATCAGTCACAGAGATAAAGCAGAGAAACAAGAGAAAAGAGCAAAGCCTACAAGAGATGTGGGATTATGTGAAGAAACCTAATGTGAGGGTCATAGGGTTACCAGAAGGGGAAGAAGACAAC